CTCAGGCTTGTTGGTTGGGGGCGACCATGTTGGGCAAACAGGGTTAGTAGGTCTCCTGTTTGGGGCAGCATGGTCTGACAGTCAACAGAGAGAATGTGGCTCCTATTGCAAAGCCATACCAATCAGACTACACCTGAGTCTCCAAGTCTATCTCCCCAGGAGGAACACACCACAGGTTCAGTAAGGTTGGGTGTAACCTGCTGTCCTCACTGTGGGAGAAAGCTCAACAGGGCAGGACTGATTCACTGGGACTTGGGCAAATAGATCAAGAAAGCCTTCTTTTGGGGGTGGCACTGGCTGTGCCACCAGAGGTGCCCTTCTCCTTTTAGCTCTGTGGCCTCTCCTGTTCAAGCACTGACCTGGAGCCTCTGAGGTTGATGCACTCTGAATGTTGGCCATGAGTAGAGCCTCCTTCCCCTCAAAACTGAGCCTAGCCAGACGGGGCCAGCTGGGCTTTCCCTGCTCGCATTCCGCCTGCGGGACTTGGAGGTATAGATCAGAGCAGCCTTCTACTTGGGGTGGCTCCAGCCCTTTCGAGGGAAGAGAGCTGCTCGTCTCCTCCTATCTCTGCAGCGCACTGCCAGAGAACCTGCTGGAGGGCTCGAGGTGACCCTGTCCAATGTCCAAACTCTGAATGGTGCTCCCTTTCCCCATGGATGTGAATTTAACAGGATGAGGCCAGCAGGACTTGGAAATGTAAATCCAGGCAGCCTTTTGTTGGGGTGGCACAGGGTCATTCCTCCCCCTAGCTCCCTAGCTGCCTGCTGCCTGAGACCATAACCAGGGAGCCTTCCGTTGGGGGTGCTGCCTGCCTAACCTGTGGGAGGGAGGAAATGGGCCCTTGTTCCAAAGCCACTCAGTTCTGTGATCATCTAAGAGTCTGTCTATAGTTTCTCCAGGGATAAACGCACACCTCTGGTCCCTTTTGAGAGCAACCAGCCATCCTTTATGCCGGAATTGAGCAGGGCCAGGGTAGTGTCACCAGTGTTTGGAGGACGGGGTTAGTGCAGTTTCTGTAGCTGGTGCTGTAAGAACAGAAGTGCTGGGCCCTGAGAGATGGTGTCTGAGGGCAGTGTGGAATGTTATTTCAGGACCAGGACCGCAGGAGCACCTTGCAGATCTCCAGTGCTATGCCACCCCGATCTTCTCCTGTGCTTCCACAGGCCCTGAGTCTCCTTCCCTCTCACAGAGCCCGGCTGAGTGCCCAAGAGCCAGTCCCTGTGCGTTAGCCCTTAAGAGCACCCGGGACTCAAGCAGACACCCTCCTGTTTCCAGTGGACAAAGTCCCTCCTTGTTTTTACTACCAGATGCTATGCAGGCCCTTCTTCCTGGCCCTGGTGCTCTGGTTTGGCCAGGTGTGAGACCCCACTTTCCTCCAGGGAGTGCTTTTGCAGCCCCAGTATTTCTCTGGCTTCACAGCCTCTACCCCTGGGTGCAGGGACCAGCCCTTTCCCCGTCTCCGCCTATCCTACCAGTCTCTGTGTAGCTTCTTTTTCCCAGGCCTTTGATACACTCCTGTTCAGGTGTCTCTCTGTTGTTTATTTAGGTTGATTGCTGTAAACTTTAGCTGTAACTCAGGTTTGGCACTGGGAGGAGGTGTATATTGCTTTCACCTAATCTGCAGCCATTTTGGAATACCCCCAAATTGATTTTTTAATGATGTTAGTTTTATTGACTTCAAGTGATTTTCTAAAAGAATAATGTTTGGGTTATGAATTCAATGATCATTTTTTATTGTATTCAGAGGAAATAGGGCTAGATGGTCATTGCGATTTTTTTTTTCTGTTTTGAATTCCTTAATAAACCAAGTAAGTTGTAAAAGTTTGCTTTCAAACTTTAATGGCTTTCAAAGTGGGTAGTAGTTTGTATTTATCATAAGATGGATTTATAGCAGAAAACTTTAGTGCAGGTTTGGTTGTTTATAATTTTTAATAGTGATTTGTTTTTTGTAAAATTATAACCAAAAAGGTTAACAGCTATTGGAAAGAAAAACAGAAACTTTACCTACAGGAAATAATTGCCGTGATTTCAGGAATAATTTCCAGTATTTAAAAAGTTTTTCTGTCTTTTCTTTTTAGAAAAAGACTAACTTAGTCATTCTAAGCTCTACGACTCAGATCTGTTTAGATGATTTTAACCTTAACATTAACCTTATTCATTTCATTATTAACTTTAAGAACTATATCTTTTTTTTTATTGTCTAAAGTTTTACATATGTCTCCTTTTTCCCTGATTGATACCCCACTCCAGCCATTCCCACCCCAGTCAAGCCGCCACCGCCCCAGTGTCTGTGTCCATTGGTTATGCTAATATGCATGCGTACAAGTCCTTTGGTGGCTCTCTAACCACCCCCCCCTCCCCTGCCATTTGTCTCCTGATCTATTCTTGTTCTTCAAATTATGTTGATCATTATATCCCACAAATGAGTGAGATCATGTGATATTCATCTTTCTCCGACTGGCTTATTTCGCTTAGCATAATGCTCTCCGGGTCCATCCATGCTGTTGCAAATGGTAAAAGTTCCTTCTTTTTTATAGCGGCATAGTATTCCATTGTGTAGATATACCGTAGTTTTTTAATCCACTCATCTGCTGATGGGCACTTAGGTTGTTTAAGAACTATATTCTTAATTTCAGTGAACATTTATTTTACTTAGGTTCTATAAGTGCCATGATATCACAGTTTTATTTTTATGGTATATTGCAGAAAGCTATTGGAACTTTAGAATATTCGAATTTTAGAATGATTGTCATTGTATTCTTTTTTTTTTTTTTAAGGATTTCATAGCCTACAATTTTTATTGTCAGTCAGTAATTGTTCAGTATAATAATTACTTGTGTTTTAAGAATCTTTTATGATTTGCAAAGCATTTTCACATATATTTTTATTATTCAGTTCTCATAGCAACAGAATCTATCAGTATTGTCATCCCTACACTTTAAAATGAGGCAACAGTTTCAAAGAGATTGAGATTTGCCTAAGATTTAAATGGAGCTGCATTTCTGGTTATATTCTTCCAACTCAGAGCTCTGTATCCTTGGATTGTTTCTGTTATATCACTATAATTTACCAAACAAACATAGCTGTTTTTAGAAATTAAGTAAATTTCTTTTAAAGCAATAATTCTCAACCAGCCCCATTCTCCCCTCTCCCTCCTCGCCACCCTCCACACACATTGGCAAGTGTATGGAGAAATTGTTGGTTGTTGCACAGTGGGCTGGGGTTGCAGATGCTACTGGCATCCTGATGAGTAGAGACCAGTGAACTGCCAGACATTCTGCAAAGGACAGGTGCCCCCTCCCCCCAGGGTGTGATCCAGCCCAGAGTGTCAGCATTGCCAAAGTTGGGGGTCTCATGAGCAAGAACAAGGCCTGTTTGCCCGTTCTTGACCTGGCTATCCAGGCACCTTCTTACATATCTGTAATGTTTTCTACTCCTCCCGAATTACTTAAAATCTAATTTTTGAGATAGTTTAATATAAAGGTGATTATATTTCATATATTTCGTAAATTGGGATATTTCAGTACTGTTATTAAGAATAAGCATTGCTAACAGAATAGTCATGGGGGGATGAAAAGTACATCATAGGGAATATAGTCAATAGTATTGTAGTAACTATGTATAGTGTCAGGTGGGTATTGGAAATAATTGGGGGTTTACTTTATAAATTATATGATTGTCTAACCATTATGCTTACACCTGAAACTAATACAAAATAATATTGGATGTTAACTGTAATTAAAAAATAAAATTTAAGTAAAAACAAAAGAATAAGCATTGATAACTGTGCTAAATATATTATATATAAACTAGAGTTTTCTGACAAATAGTTCCCAGGTAGGAGAATAAAAATTAAACCAAAGCACAAATGTTTTATTTCAAACCAAAATTTTAATGTTTATTTGATTTTCTAGTTTTACTTAATGTAGGCTGAATGCCAATAAAAACTATATAAAGTACTCTTAAGTTTTATTGAGAGCATTTAGTTTCTGTGTTTCATTTAATGCTCTGCCTGTTTAGTTATGCCAGGTGTGTTTTTTAGAATCATCCAGTCTGTGCAGAATTTAGAGTGACTAGGCTCTTCCAACCACGAACTTACAGAGGGACATCTCAGAAGTATTCCTTCGTGTTGTGGTGACAATGCTGTGCAACCTAACCACTGACATACTGTAACAGCTTAGAATAACTGTGATAATAGAAAATGTGAGTTTCAGAGTTTACATAAGCACTGCACATTTCATAGAGGTTTCATAACTGAATAATAATAATTAAAAAAGAAAAGCATGTGCTGTAGCTCAAAAACCAGCTCAGTCTCTGTCGAGTTGGTCCTATGCACTTACTGATGATTTTATTAGAAAGGATTAGTTTTAAACATAAAGACAGTAAGACTCTAAGACAGAAGTTGAATACATGATATCAATCCATACTTTACCATTATTGGAAATATTACAGTATTACCTAAGTTATTAAAGAAAGAATGGGAATAGTATACTGTATTCTTCATATCAGTGTGCTTGTTAATTTTATTTTTTTAACAACAAATGAAAGAGTACAGATTTGCTACATCAGGCATCCCGTTTATAGTACAGTTCTTTTGAAAATATAAAGGGTATCCCAAAATTCACACAAGATTTGAATTTTGCGTGAGCATTAGCAACAACAAAAAATAAAAGCCTAATTTTACTTGGTTCATTGAATCAGATTCTAATATCTGTTGCCCTTTGATTTCAATCCCTTCAATTTGATAAGCATTACCAAGTACTGTTATGGCCCAGGAGCAGGGACAATGAAGACCATGGCTTTGTATATGTGCCAGCAAAGCAGTGGAGGCCATTTACCTGATGAGCTATTCCATACATAACCCTATACTGTATACTTTATGAATCAATAAAAAATACAATTTTTAATTATAAACCTGTGTTTTCTATCAAAATTACTTCTTGCGTGAATTTTGGGACACCCTTTACTTGATAATAAAGTGTTAAATACTGAATGTTTTATTTTTTTGAGAGAATATTTAAGCATGAGATTTATGCAAAATCATTTGTGTGCATAAGAAAACTGCAATTGATGCTGTTTCTCTTAATTTAGATGTATCAATAGTTTTGCAAAATTCTGATGAAATTTTTTGTCCTAAAGTAAAGTCACTGGATGTACCACATGGGAATAGATTTTTGCTTCTGAGCATAATACCACCATTATTAATAGAGCTCAAGTATCCTAAATGTAACAGCTTTTAAATTTTATATTAAATGGACATTATTCATTGGTAATTACTACTTTCTGAAGTTCCCAAGCTGAACACTCATTCTACTCGAAACACAACGAAATGTTGCTGGTTGTATTTCCCAGTACTTCATCGGGTTCTTGAATAAACTTATTGCACTGTATAAAGATTTCTTCATCTTTGGCACTGTTGGGCAGAAATCATTCACTCCCACTTTCGTAATTGAATTCGAATGAAGGAAGATTATCTGTTGTAGTAGGAATAAGGATGGAGTTAAAATACATAGTAAATGTGAAAAGAAGATAGTCTATTTTTAGTTCATGGGTTTATTTTATACTGACAATGTATTTCACTTAAAATACATGTACTCACTTATGCTTGTTAAATACTTAATTTAACAACTCGGGTCCATGCGTTATACACAGAAGTGCTCTGTGTGTGAAGTGTGGCGTCAGACTCACGCCGAGGCCTGGAGCACTCGCCTGCTCGGCACCACTCTTCTCTGCACAGCTGCACGTGTGTGTGGGTCGCCTCAGTGCCATATTGGCAGCAATGCGTTTAAAGTGTTAGACACGAACAGAAGAATGGGATTTAATGCTTTAAGAATTAGGCTTGCAATGTGAGTGTGAAGAATTGTTAGCATTTTATGTGATTAAGGGAAAGAATTATAGAGCCACTTTTTTTGTAAGTTTGTTTTATAGAAAAAATATGTCTGTCAACATCTTAAATACATATCTGAAATACATCATCAATAGTTGAATCTTTATTTGCACCAATGGACAAAATACAATTTTATAGGCTGTGTATATGTCTTTAAATTAAAATATTACTCAGAGTGGACAATATAGAAACTTTCCTTCATTCCCTTAACATCCCTTTAAATTCCTTCTTTGGTCCTTTTGGGGAACTGAGATTTCTGGGAAGTAAAAACAATCTACTTAACTGACAGCATTTGACAGCATAAAAAAGTAGGAGCCTTTTGCTGGACAAGCTAAGTGTTGGTTCTGGCTGTTAGGCATGAGAACTCGAGGCATTACTAAAGCCGTTCAGTTTGGCACTGAAGTCCCTGTGCCCTGTGTCTCAGGGATTCTGTGACGATGCTTTCTGAGCTGTGCATTTCTCGCAGCTCTGTCAGTGCGAGGGGCTGTTTCCCCAGCCCTGGTCTCACTGGGAATGGGAAGCAGTGCTGGACAGGGTCTGTTGTGGACATTCAGGCCATTATGACTTGTGTTCTTCTCTGTTTGTGTTATAATTTTATTCGATGTTTAAAATGCTAGCAAGATTATGGGTAGATTTAAGAGCTTCCAAAGCTGGGATCAGAGCTATGGAGTAAGTAGGCAAAGTTGGATGGGGCAGCTCAAGAGAGGAAAGGCTCAGGCCATGCTCGCTGGTTAACAATAGACACTGAAATGGAGCATTTGAAAAATTCAAAGCAAAAGTGATAACCTTGAGATGAACACCTACATATAGCACTTCCATATTGATGGCTTGTATCTGACAGGAGTGTGGGTAACAAAACTTGTCTAAAGATAAATAGGAAAGAAATCTAGAGGCAAGTAGCTCAAAGCCTAGCTTTGGTGTCCACATGTTTTTGCTTCTTGGAAAATGAGAACATTGTATATTATAGCAAGGAAAGCATATGAAGAAAATGGGCTAAAGTGAAGTGGGGTTAAATAGGGATTCTTTATTTGAGGTCCATAGATGAGAATTGGGGAGATCTGTGAAACTTTTAAAATTCCGTGCAAAATATTGTCATTTTTGTTCTTGGGAATCTCTATATTTGATTCTCCAAGGACTCCTCCCTCATAAGTTAGGAGTAGTCAAACTAGAGGGGAAAGATTTCTAATAATGAAAAACAAGAAATGTGAACCTATGATGTTCCAAATACAGACTTTTGATTTTATATTCTTGCCTTAATTTTTAAAAAAGCATACACTTCTAATCTAGCACCGCATTGGTAGTGAAAATACATAGGACCTTGTCCCCAGGGTCTGCCTTCATGAAATGTTTTCAGAGTGAAAGGATATGTGATTCTACTTGGTTTCCTCCCGCCCAGTCCTGCCGTTACAGAGCCACTGCTATCCCAGAACCCTGAAATTCGTTGTCCCTCTGCCACTGGGCCTTAGTCTCCGCAGGAGAACGGGCAGGATGGAAATGGGCACCTGCGTGTACTAGTGATGTTTCTGTGGAAACCCTTCTCTCATGCTCTCTTCCTTGACCCTTGCTACTTACTTGGTCTGTGCTTTAGGTACTAATAAGCTTCATAAAAATAAAGAAAAGCACGCATATCTACAAACCACAGGTAGAATGTTTTACCTGGAGGTATTTCAACTCCTGTAATCCTGAAGGGATTTTTTTTAGTTTATTGTGTTCCAGGTGTATTTCTCTTATGCGTGGTATGTTAGCAAGACTCCCATTTTCAATATCTGTGATTCTGTTGTTTCCTAGGCCCAGCCTAAAAATGATATAAAATTCATCAACTCTTAAGCAGATAGTGTGATAAATTCAGCTCAAAACACAACTGAGTTAGAAATATAAACCTTTCCTATTTATATTTATATTTGTGTTCAGAGAAAGGTATTTCATGGTTTTATTTAACAGCCCTCTTCACTGTCAGAAAAATCTCTATGTAACTTATATTTTTAAAAAGGAACGTTTGAAAAGTGTCATCTGCCCTGGCCGGCTTGGCTTAGTGGTTAGAGCATCGGTCTGCACACCAGAAAATGAAGGGTTCAATGCCTGGTCAAGGGCACGTACATAGATTGCAGGTTCCAGGTTCGATCCCTGGCCCTAGTTGGAACGTGCAGGAGGCAACCAATCAATGTATCTCTCTCATATTGATGCTTCTCTCTCTCTCTCTCTCTCTTTCCTCCTCCCCTCTCCCTTACAATCTCCCACTCCCTCTAAAAATCAATGAGAAAAATATCCTCACTTCTTGGGCGAGCATTTTTAAAAAAAAGTAAAGTGTCTTGTGATTCTACTTGGTGCCCTCTTTTATCACCAAGACAGAGTAGTAGCAGTTCCTTCCAGTTTTCCCTTCACACTCTCCAGTAGCATCAACAATAATCTTCATTAGGTCCCTATACACATTCTCCAGGAAATTTCATGAATATTCATCATATAGACTACCACTTGCAAGTAGGATTTGGGGAACTTTTACCTTTGCAGATCTTTGTATCGTTTAAAATCCTCGAGTTCCACATTTGAAATTTTATTATAATCTAAATGAAGCTCTAATAAAGTTGATGGTAGCTCTAATGATAAGGAAAGAAATGTATGTTAGATCAAGTAAGATCAGCCTTATTGGTTATTTACTTGTTGAGATTCACATTATAGACTTAGGTAATTTTTTAGGGATCTGTTGTTGTTTTTTTAAACTTTTTATTATGGAAAATTTCAAACATATACAAAAATGGAAGCTAGTATTATGAACCACCATGCTGTTGCCAAGTTTCAACAATTATCTTAATTTTTCCAATCTTGTTTTATCTACCCCATTAGTTATGGATTATTTTTTAATTGAATTTTTGGGTGACATTGGTTAATAAAATATCAGTTTCAACTGCACAATTCTGTAATACAACATCCGTGTATTGTATTGTATTGTGTGTTCACCACTCAAAGTCAAGTCTCCTTCTGTCACCCTCTTTCACCTCCCCGCTCTTCCCCTAGTCATCACCATACTGTTGTCTGTGTCTATTAGTGTTTGTTCTTTTTGTTTGTTTGTTTTGCTTAATCCCTTCACCTTTTTCATACAGCCCCCCAACCTCCCTTCCCTAATTATTGATTATTAAAAACAATTGATTTGGTTTTATTCATTTCCCTAATGATCTCAAATATATTGTTGATTTGTTCAAGTCAGTATCCTAATAAAGTTTATCCAAGTACATTTATTTGGTTCTTAAATCTGTTCTCCTATTACATTCTCCCTCTTCTATTGATTCGTTTCAGATATTGATTGGTTTGAGATATGCATTTGTGGGTTGGGCTAACGACTTCCACAAGGTAGTTTATCATGGTCCTCTAGCCCCCTTACTTCTTAGGATCTAGCAGTTAGATTTAGAGTCAGACCAGATCACACTCAGAGGAGCCCTTTCCCTGATTGTCTGAGCAGTCGTTGGTGCTGCTGGGTCCATTACTTCTGTAAGAACGGGAATATGGGCCGCTGTTGTTCCTCAGTGGTAGAGCATCAGTCTACAAACCAACAAGTCATTGTTCGATTCCCGGTCAGGGCACATGCCCAGGTTTTCGGCTCCATCCCCAGTGGGTGGTGTGCAGGAGGCAGCAGATGTTTCTCTTTTATAATGTTTCTATCTCTCTATCCTCCTTTCTTCTCTCTCTAAAATCAATAAAAACATTTAAAAAAAAAAAAGAATGGGAAAATCATGATGATTTTCCTGATTTTGTCATTCTTTAAGCATTAGGTGGAATTCTTCTCTAAAGAATTTTCCTTATTTATTTACTGTGTGATACAGTTTAACAGAAAAGGCAGCATAAATGCTCAGTTCTTTCAAGAAATGAATTAGTACAATGCCCAGTGGTGACCAGTGAATTTTTTAAATATTACTATGAACACGTGGTTTTTTACTCTATTTGATATATTTGGTCCATTACAATGTTTATTCTTTTCAATTAGCAGTAGTTTCTGCATAAATCAAGAGAAGCATCTCCCTCTTTTTTAAATCCTCACCTGAGGATATTTTTCCATTGATTTTTAAAGAGAGTGGAAGGAGGGGGAGAGACAGAGAGAAACATCAATGTGAGAGAGACACCCTATTGGTTGCCTCCCACATGTGCCCTGACCAGGGCTGGGGTTTGAGCCTGCAACTGAGGTACATGCCTTTGACCTGCATTGAACTTGGGACCCTTCAGTCTGCAGGCCAACGCTCTTTCCACTGAGCCAAACTGGCCATGGTCAGCAAACTGCGGCTCGCGAGCCACATGCAGCTCTTTGGCCCCTTGAGTGTGGCTCTTCCACAAAATACCACGTGTGGGCATGCACATACAGTGCGATTGAAACTTCGTGGTCCATGTGCAGAAGTTGGTATTTTGTGGAAGAGCCACACTCAAGGGGCCAAAGAGTTGCATGTGGCTCGTGAGCTGCAGTTTGCCGACCACTGAGTTAGGGCAAGAGAAGCATCTCGTAATTGCTTATTCTGCCAGTGCCACCTGGCCCATGGCAGTTACTCTCTGAATGCTTGCACCTTCTCTTCTTCAACCTGTGTGTTCTGACCCCAGGCCTCCCCAGATTAATTGAAGCTGGAATATAAGATAGTAACCAGAAAATTAAATTAGATTTTATTTTATTCTATGTCGGACCTGGTATTGTATGTAATACTTAGTATTAAAAATGTAAAGTATTATTTGTCAAATAAGGGTTTTAGTTAACTCGCTGAGAAAGGTGTTCTATTTTTCAACTCTTGCTGAAACATTTCCTTCCTATACTGGTGGCAAAGACTGATGAAGGTAGTTAAAACATCCTTATAAATATCAATATTCTTCATGGCTGAGTTTATGTTGATTCCAGAATCTATTCTGAAATTTAAAAGTAAATAAACTAGAGAGCAGGAAAATAATTCTAAACTGAGAGTGTTCTAATTTCTTGAATTCTGATTAGTTGAACCTAATTACATTTATGAAACAACTACATACTCACTTCAATATGTAAGAGAAAAGGTTCTCTTTTCAAAGACTTTATATATTAGTTGAGCAAATGCATACAAAAATCACTGGAAAAAGTTCACAGAGTGTGCTAGCCTACTCTAGAATATTTTATAGCAAGTCAAAGAAGAGAAATATCTGCTCATGTGGAGGAGGCAGGGAAATTTCTTGGGTTTGTAGAACTTAAGGGGACTTCTCCCTAGGCCTGGAGAAGGTAGGTCACCAAAATGAAAGGTGTAGGCTCTGGAGGATAAGTGAGCAAAAGTATGAATTTGGGTAGAAGCTCATTGACTGCCAACAAATATCAGCACACTTTTATACAGGTATTTCTATTCCTGTCCTATCTTCAAACAAGCCTCTCCTCCCCTCCACACAATACCATTTATTATAAAGTATGGTTTTCCAAATGCAAAGGAAGAAAACAGTTTCACTCTCTTTATGTTAACTTGTCAGGTATGGTAAGGACTTGTTCATCCTGCCACAAGGGGCAGTGATGGTTGAATTATAACATTTAGGCAGTCTGCCTTAACATTTTGTTGTTGTTAATCCTCACCTGAGGATATTTTTCCATTGATTTTTAGAGAGAGTGAAAGAGAGGGGGAGAGACACACAGAGAGAAACATCAATGTGAGACACATCCAGTTAATGGTCATTTAAGGATGGCATTAAAAAATACGTTATTTTACACAAAGTGAACACAAACCTTTAGGAATTGAGGTCAGTTTTGCTTCTGCGATTCTGACATGGAACACTGTCAGCCCTTCAAACGCCCCTGGCTCAATCCCATTGCTTTCGAGAGGGTTTGCACTCATTTCTGTGGGGAAACGACATGACTTAGCGGGTGGAGCCCACCCTGCAGGGATGCACATCCCAGAAAGCAGGTGCGTGCTAGGCTGTTCACTCAGCGTGTCTGCTTCTGTTTCCTTACTTCTCGGTCAGTCTCAGAAAAAAGACTGCTTTGTAGTTTGGACCACAATAACAGGTTTACCATTTTGCTTTCAATTACTAAATCAATAATTTATCATTCTCTTCCAACCATAAGCATGGTCAAGGATTCATTGTAGTAATATTACAGTAGAAAAAAGATCAGCCTTCATATAATTCAAAATATTTGTTTGCCAGTGTACATTAATTTGTTAACTAAACTTTTAAAATTATTACTCAATAAGAATTGTTGCTTGATTAACAGAAAAAATAACCAAGGAAATGCCAGTAAGTGAGGCTATTTGGGAAGGGCAGGTACTTGGCTGAATTAAAGTGCATAAGTGAATAAGAATATTGGTTGGGAATTTTGAATGGGTGTTGGATGGGGAAATGGCATGGCTATTCCATGGGTGTAAAAGAAAAACAGAGTGGAATTTAAAATGTACAACAAAAACAATCCTTAGCTCAGTAATCTTAAAGCAGTTAATGAAAAGTTAGATGTACATTCCAGACAGTGTCTGAATGAACGTTCTGTGCTGTATTTAAGCAGTTTGTTCAGTACATTTAGAATAAATACCACCTTTGAATTTAATGATTAACAGATTTCACTGATCAGGGAGCCGTCAGAAAACAAGAACTGTGCTACTTATTTAAGAGAGAAGCCTGGGAGCCCGTGTGTGTTACAAAGGCATCTTTCAGTGCCATACAGGTTTACTTTTTATTTGATTTGTAAGTGGCTTATCTAGGTAAAGAATATTAGATTCAAAAAATGTTTAGAAATTATCAGTCTTAAAGGTAAATAAGGATAAAAATCTCTGCCTCTATGTATTACTTATCATTTCTAAATGTCTCATTTATTTGCAAAAACTTACCCAGAACATGTAAAGCATTCATCCCTTTGAATGTTTCCTTTTGTATTTTCTTAACCTTATTATCATGAATTCTGAGTTCTGCTAATGACTTAGGAAGATTAAGTGGTATTTCATTTAGTTGATTGTGGGACAAATACAATCTTCTCAACTTCTTTGTGGTTTGAAAGGCTTTGGGGTGTATCTTTGTTAGCTTGTTGTTGTTCAGGATCAAAGCCTAGAAGAAAGATAGAAAGTTGCACCATATTAGGAAGCAGATTAACCTGCCAGTATACTGAGTTGGAAGAGTGCAAAGCTTTAATGAGTGGTTTTTGTGTCTTTGGTTTATTTGAGGAGATGATGTGTTCACATGGTTGAGGCCCCTCTAGTTTCCACTTCTCTTTATGGCAGTGGTTGGTAGTATTATCTTTATCTTACCTTAGAATTGGTTCACTCTGCAGAATTCAGTTTAACCTCACTTTTGTGTTACCTACTCTTTACCATTTTCCCCAGAATATAGACCCGTCGGCATAAGCTCCTACAAAGTGCCCTCAGACGTATTTCAGATACTGGGGACATAGTGGGCATCCAGAGGAATGATTCAACCCTTTCTCAGTTCTGCGGGACGTCTCCGTGTGACAAGGCCGCATCCCTTAGAGGAGACAACAACCTGATAGTAAAAACACTTGGAGCAGGTGACTCTGCCTTCTCCACCGCCAGCCCCTTGTGCCCTGTGGAGGGTGTTGGCTGCTATGATCTGGGTCCCCTGGGACCTGGGAACTTCAGAACCCAAACTGGGAAATCCTTGGCAGCCAGGACTTGTCAGTCACCCTAGTAATTATTTTCACTTCAAAATGAACATTGCTTAATCCTTATTTTACTGCCAGGTTTTTGCAAGTGTTTCCCCAGGGGGAGGGCAGGTGGTGTAGCATTCCTTAGGCCTTTATCCCTCTCTGCTACCCAGATCCTCCCATGCTTTCAGGCGGCAGCTCTAGGGTCATTCCTCTTATGAATGTTGTCCCTAGTCCCATTCTACAACAACCTTCCTGTGGTTTCCAGACTGAGTTAATATGCCTTTCTGTTGTTATTCATGTTGTTGGTATTGCACAGAAGAGATACAAATAAATGCTTTGACAGTTAAATCCTCTTTATTGTTATGTTTAGCTATTTCCCGGTAGGCACTTTGCTTCTCCCTTTCTGTCTCTTCTTTCAGACATCATCAGTGCTGCTAGAACTTTTACCTGAGAAAAGGTAGGGCTAGGACAGGGGTGGGCAAACTTTTTGACTCGAGGGCCACAATGGGTTCTTAAACTGGACCGGAGGGCCGGAACAAAAGCATGGATGGAGTGTTTGTGTGAACTAATATAAATTCAAAGTAAACATCATTACATAAAAGGGTACGGTCTTTTTTTTTTTTTAGTTTTATTCATTTCAAATGGGCCGGATCCCGCCCACGGGCCGTAGTTTGCCCACGGCTGGGCTAGGAGAACAAATGAAACTACAGTTGTTACCAAATGGTAACGTGTCCTCCTTTCTGAATGCATGATGCCAGTTATAACTTTGTTCTCTTTTCATTTGGTTACAGGTTACACTGCAGTGTGCAGTCAGGCGAGAGCCGGGGGGGGGGGGGGGGGACGACGGGACAAAGGGGGCGGGGGGACAAAACAACTTGATGAACCTTCACTCAACCCTTTGAGGTCAATTTAGCAAAAATTATGTCTTTCCTTCTGGTGGTGAGGAAATGGGCACAGTGCAGACAAGTGACTCGCCTGCTCTCCTGACTGACCCGCCTGCCTGCCCTCCAGTCTCCCTTCCTATCTGTGCACTTCCTGTGTCTGCACTGCCAAGAGCCCACAGGGAATGTGTGCCTCAGGCAGGTCACATCTGGGTGTGTTCCCCTCCCTGGGGAACACATGCCCTTGTCAGAGCTTCCTAAAAGGGGGTATACGGAGTACAAATGGGGTGAGAGTTTTGATGGCATGCCATCAAATGCTGCCCCAGCAAGTCAGGTGAGCAGGTTGTCTCCAGGTGATTTGTACTTTCAGGGTTGGCTTTCATATAATAACTAGAGGCCCGATGCTCGAAATTCATGCAAGAGTAGGCCTTCCTTCCCCTGGCTGCCGGCACCAGCTTCCCTCTGGCACCCAGAACCCTCTGGCTGCCTGCAGGCAGGGCTTCCTCCGGAAGGATGTCGGTCTAATTAGCATATTATGCTTTTATTATTATAGATTCCAAAAGGGGCAGTTACAGAGCCCTACCCAGTGTAGCTCTGGCTTCTAGGGAAGGCCAGACAATGAGAAAAATATAGCCTTTTAGAAGTAGCCACTATGATGAGTGTGGCTGTGACAATAGGCTGGAGGTGACCTTTGAGCGCATGTGTGTGTGTGTAAGGATCTCACTCACTCTCTAATGCTGTGTTGTTCTTGTGTAAGAACCACGAAGCTAAACAAGTAGCTGAAGCATAATATAGAGAATTCACAGGATATCTAAAAACATTTTTATTCTCTTTACACACAGGTACTGATGACACTGTAATTAAATAAGTGTTTTGAGATATGTAATGTGCTCACAGGTCAAGTATAAAACATGTGCTCTGCAGCAGTACTTTGTCCAGTCTGGAAACACTGCGCTGGTGGCAACCATAGTGAATGGCTGTATGCTGGCACTAACATGGACTCACTCATCTGGTCTCAATGACTGTTCTGAATTCCACCCCTTTTACACCTGGGCTGGGCTTAGAAGGTAAGCTGCCTTCCCAGTGGACACTTCTGAGGGAGCCAAGATTTGAGCACAGTTGTGCCTTACTGTAGAGCACTGCACTCACCCTCCAATACAGTGCCCCCTCAAAACTGCACCCTAAGAGACCATCAAGGCGCCTAAGATGGCTTTGCCGTCTTCTTATTCTTCCTTCCAACACCTTGACAGGACTACATGTGGAAGAAGTCCCTGGAATACTCCTAAAGTGCTGACAAATTAAGTTTAAAACTTTTTATGGTTTTGGTATTAAATATGACATTAAATATTCTTGTGGTCATATAGTTGATAATAGGTTAAGAAGTGGTAGAAGCATTCATAGGCTCTATTTCCAACTTATGAGGGTAGAATGATGGCCTTGCCATCTCCACAGTCTCTGTGGTCTGTCCTGAACAGGCAGACTGGATGGATCCTGGGTGGAATCCATTGTGCCATTTCTGTTTCTGACTGTCTTAATATTTAAGTGACACCTTGGTTATATGATAAATATATGCACTTCCAGTTTCTCTCTCTCTCTCTCTCTCTCTCTCTCTCTCTCTCTCTCTCTCTCAAACTGTGGTATGTATGGGCTTAACCACATCTGAGCTGTCTGCATGGTACATTTGAAAGGCCCCAGGAGCCCAGATGTTGGAAGTGCAGAGAAGAGACTGACTTTGCAGGGGGCTGACCTGGCTCCCTTCCAGGCAGGTTTGGGATGAGGACTGAGCAAGAGAGCCTAGTAGAGAGCACCCCTCTTGGTGCCTAGGACAGGACCACCCTGATCTTTTAGCTGAAGGAGGTAACAGGCTACTTGAATGGCAGCAGGAGCCATGTGGGCGTGGTGCCTCTGACTTCTCCTCTAGCTTCACTCCAGCGCAGCATGAGGATGGGGAAAGTAGCCTGGAAGAGCAGAACTGGCTGAGCGCCGTGCTGAGGGGAGAGGGACACCCTATGACAGTGCGGAGTCAGGCTCTCTCCAAACTTAATTACAAATTAAATTAGAAATTTTACTTGCCAAAACCTAGAGTCTCAAAATGTAAAAATTAGAAATAAAAATCTTTTAAATCTTAGAAAATGAAAATGTTAATAAGTACAGTAAAGATTTTTTTTTTTAAATCTTTCAAGGTCTAGAGAAAAAAGCCATGAAAATATATATTGTCATTTAGATATATTGCATGTGGCACTATTAGACATTTATGGTGCCTTTAGTCAATTGGTTTGGGTACCCATTTCGTTAACACTGTATGCTAATAAGTTCCTGTAAATACTCATAATGTTATTCATGTTAGTGTATAGTGACTGTGACTACCTAAATGGATCATAAGCTCATTTAAGGACCATTTAGTTAATTCTTATCCCACTGCCTTTCACCTGATTGTTTTCAGTAAACATCAGTTGAATTAAATTTATAATTTTTCATTAACCAGAACACCACTGAATAGCCAAGTTTCTGTTCTCCTTCACGCAGAAAAGTTAGACTTACTTACACAAACACAATACGAGGATTATTTTAGCAGTGATAGAGATTTTCACGTAAATATTTGAAAATATGAGCATATATTCTTACATAAAGTGAAGTGAGTCCTTTAAAATCATTTTCTTTGATTTCCTTAATTTTATTGTTTTGAAGGTCAACCATTCGAGTATCCAATGGAATGTTGCTTGGGACAGAGGACAAGCCTGAGAAATAAACAAACGTTAGATGTACACTCTTTGCTTAGAGGAGATGGCTGATATGTTAGGCTGTGCACTTGTTAAAGTCCATGGTTACCATTAATAACAGATGACTTAACATGTAACGTATGACAAAAACATTGTGTTTTGGAAAGGCCTAGACCTTTCCCAGTCATTTATCTTTACGAGATGTCTGGCTGGTCCAGCCGTCACCGCTGGACTGCTGCCTGGGGCCCTGGCCTGGAAGAGGCTCTAGGGAGGCTAGCTTCTGTGGGTGCACTTTGACTGAGGAACATTCTAGTTCTTTGTAAATTTTTGGTATGTTGTGCTACTAAATTGGAGCCTATGGGTTTTGATCATTTTAAGAAACTACATCTTCTTTGTGTAGGTACTCAATAAATATTAATTCAATTATTTTTAAAAAGGCTTAAATGATTTTTCCCTCTTGAATTAAAAAACAAAAAACAGCTCTAGCCGGTTTGACTCAGTGGATAGAGTGTTGGCTTGCAGACCAAAGGATCCCAGGTTCGATTCTGGTTAGGGCTGGTGCAGAAGGCAACCTCTCTGTCTTTACCTCCCTCTCCCACTCTTCCACTCTCCCTAAAAATCAATGGAAAAATATCCTCGGATGAGGATTAAAAAACAACAACAAAACAAAGAAACTAGCAGAAAATTACCAGGAACTGTAATGGTGCATGTCTTCCTTACTTATTTTGCTTTTCCTAGATGGCTGAATGTACCCAACCCTGCTCATTGTCAGACTTTCCATACAGTAGTTATCCTGATGAGTATGGGGTCTTTTATTTTCCTCATATTTTATTGTTCAAATGTAACATGTAGAAAAGCTGAAAGAATTTTACAGTGAAAACCCATATTCTTTTTTTACCGTCAGCATTTTACTATACAAACTGTCCATCACTTCATCTTCTTTTCTGCATTTTAAAGGGAGTTTCGGATGTTAGTACAGTCAGTGGAGCTATCCTTACTCCTGAAGGGCAGTGTTACATTTAATAGCCTCGCTGAGGACTTCAGTATCTAAGTCTTGTGACTATGAATAATTTCACAGCCTTCTTTCCTTACTTTAAGGTTGACAACTCTTTTAAGAAGTTGGACCATAGATAGGAAAAGGGAAAAGGGGTTACTAACGTGATGGGCTAACAAGTTAGCATTTTGTTAGATGATTCTGGTTTGAGAAAATGAAGTGGAAGGTCTTACAGGAAGCTGGGCGTTCTGCAGAAGGGCCTGGTACCACGGCTGCTGACAAGCTTCCTCCCACCCTGCCTCTGATGAAATTAGGAGGGCTGAAAAGAATTCCATGTTCTGAGGGAGAAGAGTGACAGGTACCCAAACGCTTTTCGTTGTCAGTGTCATGGGGAGGTGCAGTGTCTGCTGCTAATGGTGAGGTGTCATGTTAAGGTCTGTGCCAGTACAGATTTCGTTCAGTAGATTTTTATTTTATAAGCTAATGTTCAGGGGAACACTATTTGCAGATAGCTGCCTGTCTGGAGGCTGGTGGTTTGCAGCTCTCTGATGACAGGCTTGTCCTGGAGCAGAGCTGGGGAGCGGCTAGGAAGGCCTTGGCCTAAGGATGCTGTGCTGACGATGCGCATCCTCATAGTCATAGCCACGGTGAGCCAGCCCAATTCACACCCAGCGGTGTCAATGTTTCTTGCCTGGGATGCAGCTTAGAAATGACAGTACATTCTGATATTTCCTAACTATAGCCGTTTCTCATGACAGGGTCTGTCTCAGCCTCTGAGTGTCTCCTTTCTGCTGCTCTTCCACACTCTTGCTGCTGTGCTTCCAGACTAGCTTTTCTCAAACATCACTTCATCTTATCATCCCCATCACAGCAATGCCAAAGGTAGAGCTTAAAAATCGTTTCTTTCTAACCTATATATTCCATTAAGATTTTCCCACTGTTCCTAGTTCATAATCTTAACGAATGCTTTTTGTTCACCTCTCATACTGTCCCTTAGTAGCACACTTGTTAAAGTCTCTGGAGTGGATTGCAACAAGCTTTGGCCAGTGCCCAAGTGCCATAGCCACAGGACGAGGCACCAAGTGCTCAGACGCACTCTGCCAGCGGCTCTGATGGTCCCGGCCCCTGTGGAGGGGTGCTAGACCTTGGCTTCCTGAAGTGTGACACATTTGAGTCACCCCTCTTTTGGAAATAGCTGAATGCAGCAACTCTTCATGTAAATCCTATCACATCCTCTTTTTGAGCAGGGTCTGAGTGTGCCCTTCTATTTGAGATCACATTAAAGTATTAAAAAAAATACAATAGCAGAGAATTACACATTTTTAACAGACTTTAAAAAGTAATTTAGTTCAGCCACTTCTTGTATAGACACTTCTATACTCAAATCACTAAAAACAAATAGGGAATTGTCTTGAAATGAGAATTCACAACTCTGTAACCTGTTCATTGTCCTGGACAGTTGATTAGTTTTTTAGTGTAGAGTTTTACTAGAAAGCACAATCTCAACCTTCTGGTACCCTAAGGTGAAGAAACTGCAGTAACATCCATTCCTTCTGAAGGAAATGAAATTGAAGCATTTTGGTTCAAATTTGGGTAGAGAAGTAAATGTTTTATATATGAAATTCTCATGGTTTTCCTCTGATTTTCTAGATTTTTAAAATAAGTTTGCATGTACTTTGTGGTTTGTTATACTTTTCAAAAATTAAATTTTGTCAGAATAGCATTGTTCTCCAAAACACGTTGACATGTTCTTACCTAGATCAGAACAGTGCACAACTCTTGAGTAGCATTGGCACCCAAACGGACATGTTGGAAGCAGATCGAATGGGAAGAAGGGGTTAATTGGCTCTCTTGTTGGAAAAAGAGAGTTGTCAACATCACCGTCACCATCACCTTCATCTTCCATGTCCTTCAGCATCATATTCTTCAGCGTCATGTATGAAGGACGAAATAAGGGTTTGGCAGAGCACAAAGCCAAGAAAACCAGGAGCACACACTCCTTCATGTTGTCTTGTGGACAGGGCCAGTCTAAGACTAAGTAGACATTGAAGATGAAGTTAACAGTGAAACACAATTCTGCAACTGAACTTGTCTCAGAAGTGCCATTCTTGTCCACCCGAGAGTAAATTTTGCAACCTTTTAGAAAGCAGTTCAGCAATATGCATTCAAAACTTTAAAAAGATCTTTGTTTTTCATCCAGTATTTATGCTTTTAGAATCTAATCTCAGGAAGCAATGCTAATGTGCATAAAGATGTTCATTATAGAATTATATATGACTAGAGTCCTGGTGCACAAAATTTGTGCACTTGGGCAGGGCGTGGTCCCCTCAGCCAAGCCTGTGGCGCCTTGCAGTCCAGGAGCCCTCAGGGAATGTCTGAGGGAATGTCCCCTTAAGGGGAGCGGGCCTAAGCCAGCAGTCGGACATCCTTAGCACTGCCGCAGAGGCAGGAGAGGCTCCCGCCACTGCCACTGTGCTCGCCAGCCGTGAGCCCAGCTTCTGGCTGAGCGGCACTCCTCCTGTGGGAGTGCACTGACTACCAGGGGGCAGCTCCTGCATTGAGCGTCTGCCCCCTGGTGGTCTGTGCGTGTCATAGCAACTGGTCATTCCACCATCGGGCGAAACCGACTCCCTGACATCCCCCAAGGGGTCCCAGATTGTGAGAGGGTGCAGGCCAGGCCAAGGGTCCCCACTGGTGCACAGTCGGGGCTGGGGAGGGACGCGGGAGGTTGGCCAGTCGGGGAAGGACCGCAGGAGGGCTCTAGGTTATGTCTCACTCTGTCCCGATCGGCTGGACCCCAACAGCAAGTTAACCTACCGGTTGGAGTGTCTGCCCCCTGGTGGTCAGTGCACGTCATAGCAACTGGTCCACCGGTCGACTGTCTGCCCCTTGGTGGTCAGTGAACATCATAGTGAGCAGTTGAGCAGCCTTAGCATATTATTAGCATATTACACTTTGATGGGTTGAACCACTGACCGGATGACCGGACACTTAGCATATTAGGCTTTTATTATATAGAATAGCAAAAAATTAAAAATGGCTAAAGGGAAATAGTAAAGTGAAATACGGTATATTCTTGAAATACTTTGTTACTATAAGGTATTTTCACAGCCCCAGCCAGCTTGGCTCAGTGGATACAGCATCAGCCTGCGGACTGAAGAGTCCCGGGTTCAATTTCCGGTCAAGGGCACATGCCCAGGTTGCGGGCTCAATCCCCAGCAGGGGGCATGCAGGAGGCAGCCAATCCATGATTCTCTGTCATCATGGATGTTTCTCTCCCTCTCCCTTCCTCTGTCTGAAATCAATAAATATATATTTTTAAAAAAAGATATTTTCACAGATGTTTAAAATTATGAAATATTATTTTTAAAGGAAAAACAAATATAAAAATTTATACTTAGCAAACAAACAAAAACCCTGACACAAATATATCTAATTGATGATAATCTCTGGGTGGTAGAATGATGAATGACTTCTTGTGTCTTTTTCTCTTTTTACTTTTATAATGAACAGTAAGTGCAACTTTTAAAAAAAATTGATTTTGAGAGACAGAGAAGAAGGGAGAGGGAGAGAGAGAAGCATCAGGGTGACAGTGACACAGAGGTCAGCTGCCTCCTGCATGCCCTCCATTGGGGGTCAGGGATTGAGCCTGCAACCTGGGCAGGTGACCGGGAATGAAACCAGCTACTTTTGAGTGCACAGGACAATGCCCAGCCAACTGAGCCACACATCTGGGGTTGATAGGAAATTCTTTATGTTAAAACCAAGAATGTCTTCTGGCAAATTTTTCTCTCTTTACTAATTTTGCCTTCTATTAGCCATGTAAAATTAATCTTATATTTTTGTATTCTTATATTCTGGTTACTTCAAAAGAGAAGTCAGGCGAACCTTGATTCCACAAGGAACTCACCATTTACAGCAGGGTGGGGAACCTTCTTTCTGCCAGGGGCCATTTTTATATATAAAACATCATTCATGGCCACACAGAATTATCGACTTAAAACTAACCTGCTATATTTGGTCAAACATTTAATTAACTCACCCCTAATGCTTTGGCAGGCCCAGACCAAATGATTTTTTGGGCCTATGGCCCTTGGACCAGACGTTCTCTACCCATGATTTACACCCCATCTGAGATGATACAGACTTGATAAAGTACAAGTGATTGTCGACCCTAAACCTTAAGTCTGTTTATCAGTAGAAAAATATGGAATGTCCAGGAGGGAATACTGCATAGTAATGTTTTCCCCCTATTATTCAGAAAGAATATAAGAGAATATTCTCATTTAATATGATGTGACTTTTAGTTGTTTGTCCTTATTTTAAGTTTTGAGTGTATTAATATGGCTTAGGCTCTTGCTTGATTAGTTTTGAAGGTATTTATATTGTGTTACTTATAAAACTAAAATTTGTCTTGTTCTTAGGAAAACTCAGTATTTTCCCAATATAGACCAGTTTTGCCAGAGTTTCTTACTCATGGAGAGCTCTGGATTTTGGTTTCAAGTTTCCCTTGATCAGAATAATATTTGGAATGTGATTTCTGTGCTGATCCTGGTATTAACGGAGCTGTGGCACATAGAGGCTCCTCCCTGGCCCTCTTTGCCTTTGATGAAGCCGAGGCCAGCCTTCTCACTCCTGCACTGCCCACCTACTGTGTGGCTTTTGCCAAGTCCCAGGCCCACAGTGACTTCCAGACAGTAGTAACCAAACTGTCCGAGGAGAGGCCAGGCTGAGAAGTTTGCCCAGATTCCCAGGGTTGGCAACGGACCTAAGAAATGTCTTTCTGAAATTGCAAAGGCTCCTGTTTTCCACTTCAGTGTTCCACAAACTTGGAATGGAAAATTTGTCTAAGTGAAATGGTATTTCCTGTCAGACACTATTATTAGGGAAATACGTTATTGCTTTTAAATCCCATGCATGGCAGCTTTTCCCTTTGGCTGAAATATTTTTATCAGTTCACAAGTGCCAGTATATCAGTGTTACATAACATATTCTGCACCTTCAGAGGTGGAATCCAGACTAAATTCAGGTATAAACCAGGTCAGTTAAACATCCAAATATGCATTTGGAATCTTATTCACAGCACCTTTTGGTCATGGAAACTGATACTTTTAGAGACTAGACTTTCCTTAAAGAAACAGTTAACTTTACCTTAGAAGTATAAATAACATCTGATAAAAGAACTTGTTGGCTGCTTTTCCAATTTTTGTCCATCAGTTTTTCAATGCCTTCTAGTAACCTAGCTGCTGTCTTAAAAAGCAAAAACTTCTTCATTTTTCTGCCGTTCCCTATGGTTCCTTAAGACTTGTGCTTATAAATCAATCTGTTTTGTCTCAAATCTTAGATCAAGTATAAAATATTCTGTTTTAATATTTTTAATATGTAGTCGCTAGTTGTAATAGAGGCCTGAATGTCCCCTCATCTTCCCAGCACTACACAATGTTGTGAAATATGGGAAACAAAATATCAAGATGCTTTTGCATATGTGTGGGCTTTGGATTTACTTTTTTAAACTATTCAGTGATTCTTGGTGGGATTAAGTTTTAAAAGTACTTTATATTTTTTAGAGAGATCTAGACCCCTCAGGTTTCTCTGTGATTTAATCCTACACATGTGGCCACCGTTCCTGGTTGTCACACCTCTGAGTAGGTTAACAAGAAAGAATGCTCTGCTCTATTTAAATTATGAGGAAATAGAATACCAAACACATTGTTTGATTTTCTTAAATCTAAGATTTAATACAAAATTTACTTTGGGATGGGACAAAAGAAAACTTTGTTTTAAATTCTGACTTTACGGATTTTTGTGAAAAGAAGTTCCTAATTTTTTATGTTGAATATAGAGCTAGTTAAACTGTTGCTGATCATTATTCTTTCTTGAAATTATATGGATTTCTATTTTTACTGTACAGTGCCATTTCATCACCTAAGGATAAGGAAGATATTTATCAAGGGAAAATATGAACATTCAAATGTGTAACTAAAAATGAAATTTGAATAATTCATATATTTTTAAATTCATTAGAAAATATAGTTTTACATTTCAAAAGAAATATTTACTATTTCATTTAATGTATTTGTGATATTCTCAAACTTCCTTATCATTAATTATTAAGGTAATATTATTTTCCTAAAAGAAGATACAGATGTTTGTTTAAATGATTTTTTACAATTAACTTTGTTAGCATTTATAGTAAAGCACAATGATAGTTTTTCACTTAGCTGTAAAAAAAAGTCACAATTATATTGAAAATAAATTCATTATATGTAAAACAAAAAGCTAGAGTTATTTTAGGTTGCTATGTAATTAAGTACTGATTTTAAAGAAATTAAACTTTAAACTTTATCCTATAATTTACAAGCATTTATGTTAATAATATTAATGTCCCCTTAGTATCGACTATAAGGTAATTGTCTACTGGTACATGAAAAAAACCCTCATGAAAACATACCTTGTAAGAAGAGAGCAAGTCCTCAAGAAAGTCGAGTTCCCCAGCATGTGCCACTTCTCTGCAGGGATGTCCTCATGTACGCTGCAAGGAGAGGAGGTGTCACATGTACAGAGGACCGTGTGGCTGCCCCTGGGGTAAGCTGCTTCCACAGATTAGCCCATGTTAGTGCTGAGAAGCAAGATTAAAGCTTGTTACTGCTCATGTGTTTTCCATCACTGTTTGTATTGTAGCCAAGACTTCTAGCTAAACTCTAGACGTCTACTGGAAGATTCTGAAGAAAAAGAGTGCTTAATAATACATGGCAGCTGGCCACTGAAAGTACATGAAGTCATTCAAGAAATCCTGATTTGAAAAAATACTTTATGAAATTCTTAAAGGAATGCTTACAAATTACAAATTTAAAAATTACCCTATATAGTCCAACAAAATATTTATCAACCTTAGTAAAGAAGATAAACATTATTGAAGTATAAACCCAAACTCCAAGTGTATCTGAGACAGGAGCCATGCTGTTGTTTCCTTCTGTTGACGGAAGCTACTGCAGAGAACATACTTCTCAAGATTTCCTTTCAAAGCTTTTAACCCTCCTACAGGCATGCTGGGAACTGCAGAGCAGGCCCTGTTAGTGCCCCAGGTCCCAGCCTGCGTGTTCTGATATGGCATAGACACCTGGATCCAGGTGACACCTGCTTGGATTTTCCCTTTTCCAGAGAGTATCAGCTGTTTTTTAGGGAGGACTCTGGAGCAGAAAGATGTCATTCTCGGAGAAGAAAGGCACTGTTAGCATACCCTTTCCCACTTACCCTGAGAGAATGCCCAATTCCTATATCAAGCAAGGCACATCCTTCCAGAGAGGACATTGTCCTCCATCCGCTGAGAAAGCCCTCCAGTGCTGCGATGCTGGGGTCCTGGCGCTGCCCGGGGTACTGGCGTTCAGGCCTGTTCTCACAGCGAGCCTCCAGTCAACTGTTTGTTCTCCTGCTGTAAAGATCTGACCATCTTCTCCCTCCTCCCAGAGAAATGGCAGCTCCAGCCAGAGAGAGAGAGAGAGAGAGAGAGAGAGAGAGAGAGAGAGAGAGAGAGAGAGAGAACGAGAACTGTGGCTCAGGTGTGTCGGGTGGCCAGCCCCACCCAAATAAACTACCCTTTCTTGGGTCTGGAGGTGGACCGTCCCACACACAGGCCCCAGGAGCCGCGGCTACCTGAGGGTGGCGGCTTCCGGTTTCGTGAGAATGCTTATGTCCTGTTGATTCAGTTATGTGTAGTTCAGACATGGCTCTTGTTTTTGAACTAAACATGTTACCTTGATGAACTGGGAAATCGTGAAAGTTGAAGGGATTTTATTAACCTGAGTTCCTGAGGCCCTTGGGCATAATCATATTTGTTATGTACAATGTTTTATTTTTTAACTTTTAGCTGAAGTATATATGACAAAATATAAGCACATTATAACGGCACCGCTCAACTTCACAAACTGCACCCTGAGCAAAACCGCAGCGCGGCCAGAGCCTTCCCAGGCCCAGAGGCCTCCTGGCTCTCCACACGCAGCCCTTCCTGGCGTCACGGGTGCAGGGCAGCCAGGCCGTGCTTTCTCTTCTGTGTCTGCTTTCTGCATTCAGCGTAAGGTTTTTGAGACCCCTCCGGGTCCTTTGGGTTAGCAGTTATTTGTTCGTTTTCATTATTGTATGGTGTTCTATTGTGTGAATATGCCACAAATTACACACTTGATATATAGTCAGTGGGTTCTTTCCCATTTGTAGCGCGGCTATGAACATTCTTTGTCTGAGGCTCATGTGTATGAAGTTTTGTTATGTGCAATTGCTGTATTTAAAAGTTCCAGCTTCTCTTGAAAAGTAAAGTTTTGTCAGTGTGTGCCACCTCCTTTTACCAGGCACCGCTGGGCTGGGGTGGAGTAGCAGCTCTTCCTCTCGGTGCAACGTGTGCCCCACTCTCTGCTTGGCCTCTGGAGGGTGTCCATGCTGCTCTCCTTTCAGGCCTGTCCTCTGCACAGCTCTTCCAGGTGGGTTTCTGCCTCTGCCTGCAGAGCTGGGAGCACTGTGGGAGGTGGTTTTTGTAAAGGTGTGTTACAGCCATTTTCTCTCCCCTCTCGTGAGCCCTAAGCATATCTTCCTCCAGCATCCAGCTTCGCTCTGGGCAAAGGGCTGGAGAATGATGCTGGTGGTGGTGCAGATGGTTTATTCATTCTAATCTGCAGAGAGTGTGGCTAGGGACCCCTCCACGGCACAGACCCTCCATAGTCTGGGGACTGCACCTCATGGCTGTGGAGATGGCCCAGCAGGTGTGGATGCCATTTGCAAAGACCCAAAGCTTCCCCCACAGCTCTGCAGGCGTTCCAGACGCTGCAGTGTGCCTCCTCTTCCCTGACAGTGAGAAGCAAATGTCCTGCTGGGCTTCCTGTCAGGGCTCTGTGGAAGGGACCCACCCTTCCCACATGTTTATTTGTATTGTTTGGTTTTGCTTCATCAGGCTTTGCTCTAAATATCGGAGAGTTACTTTTACTATATCAAACAATATTGTTAGGAATCATGAATAACCAACATGTTATTACATGGTAAACAGGAAAATAAATTACAAAACTGAAAATGTAATAATCTCTGTACTAATATTTTATGAACACAGACATGAATTGCTATAAAAGAAACTTCAAACACAAATTTATTGGATGGCCTGATATATTCCATCCATGTAAATCCTATCTAATAAAAGAGAAACATGGTAATTGGTGTACGACCACTACCTTTCCCATTGGCTAATCAGGGCGATATACAAATTAACTGTCAGCCAAGATGGCGGCCGGCAGCCAGGCAGCTTGAAACTAACATGAGGCTTGCTTGCTTCAGTGACGGAGGACTCCAATGTTCCCCGCCTGCCGCTGCAGGCCTCTGAGCTGGCAGTTTGAAACATAGTTACAAAAATAGAAGCTAAACAAAACCCCAGAAACCAGCTTTCAGCTAGCCGGGATCTCAGACCTGGAGTTGATACAGAGTTTCGATTGTAGAACCTAAACAAACCAGATACCTGCTTTCAGGAGCGGAGGCCTAAGAGCTGGAGCCTCAGAGCTAAAGCTGGCTCAGAATAAAAAAAAAAAAAGAAAAGAAAAAAAGGAGCAGTTGGGAGCTTCAGTCCCAGCCTGAAAACAGCCCTCAGCCCCTCACCCAGACTGGCCAGGCACCCCAGTGGAGACCCCCACCCTGAAGGGTGTGTGACCAGCTGCAAACAGCCATCATCCCCTCATCCAGGCTGGCCAGGCACCCCAGTGGGGACCCCCACCCTGATCCGGGACACCCTTCAGGGCAAACCAGCCAGCTCCCACCCATGCACCAGGCCTCTATTCTATATAGTAAAAGGGTAATATGCCTCCCGGCACCGGGATCAGCGTGACAGGGGGCAGCGCCCATACCCCCTGATCGCCCTGCGGCTCTGTGTGTGACAGGGGGCAGGGCCACAACCTCCCCATCGGCCCTGCTCTGTTCCTGACAGGGGGAGGCGCCCCAAACCCCTGATCGGCCCTGCTCTGTGCCTGATAGGGGGAGCTCCCCAACCTCCTGATCGCCCTGCGGCTCTGTGTGTGACAGAGTGTGGCACCCCAACCCCCCCACCCCATGGGCCCTGTTCTGTGTGTGACGGGGTAGAGCCATAACCTCCCCATCGGCCCTGCCCTGAGTGTGAGAGTGGCGGCGCCCCAACCCCCTGATCAGCCCTGCTCTGTGGGTGATAGAGGGCGGCGCCCCAACCCCCCCACTCCACAGGCCCTGCTCTGTGTGTGATGGGGTAGAGCCATAACCTCCCCATCGGCTCTGCCCTGAGTGTGACAGTGGCGGCGCCCCAATCCCCTGATCGGCCCTGCTCTGTGGGTGATAGAGGTCGGCACCCCAACCCCCTTATGGGCTCTGCTCTGTGCATGATGGGGGAGCTCCCCAACCCCCTGATCGACCCTGCTCTGTGCGTGACAGGGTAAGGAGCCCCAACCCCCCTGATGGGCCCTGCTCTGTGCGTGACAGGGGGCAGCGCCCCAACCCCTGGATTGGCCCTGCTCTGTGCGTGACGGGGTGGCGCCGCAACCTCCCCATCAACCCTGCCTTGAGTGTGACGGGGGCGGTGCCCCAACCCCCAATTGGCCCTACCCTGAGCGTGACTGAGGGTGGCGTCGCAACCTCCCAATCCGCCCTGCTCTGTGCATGACAGGGGGTGGCGCCCCAATTCCCCAATCGGCCCTGCTCTGAGCCCGACCAGGGGCTGCACCTAGGGATTGGGCCTGCCCTCTGCCACCCGGGAGCAGGCCTAAGCCAGCAGGTTGTTATCTCCTGAGGGGTCCCGGACTGCGAGAGGGCACAGGCCGGGCTGAGGGACCCCCCCCCCCCCCCGAGTGCACAAATTTTTGTGCACCGGGCCTCTAGTATAAAAATAAATTGCTTAAGCCAAGTGCATTTATAATTTCTAAGACCCTTTCCTGACCATCTCCTCCTGTTTAAATCGAGTGGTCCAAGCCCAAAATGAGCTGGAAAAGACCTCAGATACCGTCTCATTCAAGTTAAGAGTCCAATGCCTATGGATTAGAGGTGCGCCTTTGGAGCGCAGTGTCACTCGGGTTGACTTTGTGGTGTTCAGCAGCCGGTATCTGGTGTCTCCTCTTCTGTGCTCATCTTCTAAGCACGTTGGAATAGATTGTATCACTCTCATGTGGTTAGAGCTACCAGGAACCTGTCGGCCTGTTCCTTCTTTGTGAGTGATGTGAGTGCTATGGAGAAAAGCAAAATGGGACGGGCAGGGTGGTCAGTCAAAGAGAAGCCCTGAGGGCTGTGCGGGAAAGTCTTGCAAATAAACACATAGTTTAAGAATGTTCTAGGGTTAGGCCATTGACTCCTGGGATATGCCGTATTTTTCCGTGTATAAGACACTAATTTTTTCTAAAATCATTAGACTGAAAATCGAGGGGCGTCTTATACACGGAAGTCAGCTAAGGAGGGAGCCTCATAGGTGCATGGCTGCTCATACTTTGTCAAACAGGCTTCCTCCAATCACTAGCTTTATTGTTACTGACATCAGCTGATGCCGAATTTGGAGGTGGAGGTGGAAAGTGCACAGGTGCAACAGGAACCTGAGTGTTCTGAGCCCATAAAGATATCAAAAAATAAAAAGATAAATACCAGTAAGCAGTTGTCTTACTCTGCAAAATTCAAACAGAATGTAAGCAGCTCTGCAAAAGACCATGGAA